GCCCGCCAGCGTGCGCGACCGACCGCACGTGCCAACCCTCACGTATGGCTCCTCCCAACTTCACACGTCTAAATAAGCCCCTCTGTGATTTCTGAGGGTTCCGCCGGGAGGCCCCGTACTTAATGGCTCCAACGGACCTAATGGTTCCGACGGTCCTAAAGGACTTAATGGTTCCAACGGTCTTAATGATTCCAACGGTCCTAACGAACCATTATGATTTCAATGGTTCCAACGGACTGACGGTTCCACCGTTCCCAACGGACGTATTTGTTCCAACTGTCTCTCCACTCCCGTTCCACACCCCTTCCACTCACCCACCACCTTGTGCATTTCCATTGCAGCAGTCAGTAACTTACAGTAGATATCTATCAAAAATTATGTTGTTTTTTTTCTCACATCACACATTTTTTTACTAAAATGTAGTGTCTATTTTTTAAACAAATTATTGCATCTCTATTCTTCCCCGCATATCATAAATACCCCGCTGCGTCCTGTGTGATTGCTGAGGACTTGCAAACTCTCCCCCCCCCCCGCGCTTCTTGCGTTCGTGTCGCGCGCGGACGACGGCAGCGTGTGCGCGGCGTTGCCAACTCTGTCAGCTGGCAACACCGCGCGGCACTCACACCGCCCGGGCGAGCCAAGTGATGAATGTTTAAAAAAGATGGAATGATGATGATGATCAGATGATGTTTAACTTGATATGTTGATATACTATATAAGCATAAAAGAGAGAAACTTTTCAAGAAGGACAACGCAAATGTTGGTATTTTAATAATTGATTAGAAAAGTGGCAGAGGCAAAACCAAAAATAAGATAAATTTCTATAAGATAAATGGTTTCATTTACATATATTTGGGAAAGTGTCGTATGGTGAATTTACGACAACCTAAATATCAAAGGTCTACCCGTGAATAGCTTTCTAAGAAACTATTCATCTTTATCTTTCATCGTTGTTAACCTTAACAATTTTTTCAGGGACGTTTGTAAAGCTTTAGTCATATGTTAGTGTTGAGAACACTATAGCACTCCTCGCCGTGCGTACTCCTGTACAGTGAGTATATTATTGTAATCCAAGTACTTGTTTGTATGGAATTCTTCACAATGTCTTTTCAGGAGAAAAGAAGGGGGATATATTGAGTTATGTTGATTTGAATGTAGCTGATGTAAGAGTATTTTTTGAATTTTTAGCTTAAAGTTTTGTCCTTTGGGCAGTCGGCATCCCGCTTTGTGTCAACTTCATCATAGAAACTAAACGACGATATGATGTGTTATATGATAAATAACCAATGATGAATCGTTTAAGTCACAGATTCCACTAGTCAGAGTATTCATGTATGAGTGTACCAAGATGAAAAAATGTAGATAAAGATAAAATATCGACAGTCGACAGATATTCACGGTCTTGTATTAATTCTTGGTACAATTTAGAAGGCAGTGATTGCCTTAATATTGTGAAAAGTGGATGTTGCTACATGATTGATGGTCGCGCTCTGTGGGATGCAGCTGGCAACGCGGATGCCGACTGCCCTGCGCAACACTAACATTGAATAAAGTCCTGCGCCGCGCGCGCGGCCGATTGGAGACGCTGCGAACCGCCGGGGGCCCCAACGGTCCCAACGGAGTTGATGGCTCCAACGGTCCCAAAGGTTCCAACCGACGTAATGGTTTTAACGGATATGATGGATCCAACGACCCACATGGACAAAACGACCCAAAGGGTCCCGCTGGTCCAAGTGGCCCCAACGGCCCCAATGGCCCCAATGGCCCCGGCGGT